TTTTTTTTGTTTTTTTTATGTTCAAAGAAGTGAAGCATTTATTTCTGTATTTTCTGTCATTAACATACCTGGTACTTTCACTGTTGGAAAGCAATAAAAGTAATCATTTTTGGCTTTGGCTGATGTTACGATACATAGTAGCAATGGTTCTGATAAACTTCAGTGAGAATGTTCATTGTGCTCCATACTAAGCAAATTAGGAGTACCCCAACCATTTATTTTCACTGAAGTGGGTGGCGTCCAGGAGGAGTGAGAGGAGGGAGGAGAGAGAGGTGAGCACTCCTAGGAGGAAAAAGAAGAATTAAAATCTATAAGTAATTTTCAGAACTGAAAAACTATTTTAGAAAGAAGAGTTACTATAATGGCCTTCAGGTAGCATTTATGATCATGTGTTTGTGCTTGCAGAAAGTTGAGGAATGTACAATGCCTACAGTTAGCCTTAGAGTTTAAACTACAAGCAAATATATTTACGTTTATTTAAAAGTTAGGATAATATAGCTTACAATATCTTAATTTCTCTATGAGCTTCTAAATGTAACCCATGTGATTGGAATTTGATAGTTCTTCACATAAAGAGAATAAGAATTGTCTAAGACCTCCCTTATTTCAGTCCTTTGTGAAAGGGTTGGCATTCCAAATTATCAGACATAAGCAGCAACTAGCTTTTATTAAAGCGAATGTCTAAGACATTTACTTCTTAAAATTTATAACACAAAAGCAACTACAGCTATATATTATATATTGCTAAACTTGATTTTCTTCTGCTGTCCATATAGCTTCAAATATGTTTCTTTCTTAGTCATTTTTAACCAGAAGTATGGACACATCTTGACATTAACTGTCAAATGTGTCCTATACAAAATAGCCAAACTCCAGGCATCAAAACAGAAGAGAAGCAAGGGTAAGCAAAAAATATGTAGGGTTCATTGGTCAACTTATGAACAGACATGGTCAGTTATAAATTAGTTGTCTTAAGAGTTCTGTGTTTTGGATCACATAGGTAGATAATATAAACTGTAAAAGTTCTGAGAAGTATCTGGTGAGTCCTCTAGCTGGAGGGGGAGGGAGACACCACATTGGTTTCATGACCTCTTTATTATATCTACCGGTTAGCTCTCTGTGGACCAAAATGGAAAGGAGACTGATCCAGCAGAAGCCATGCGGTGGAGACTTTTTCCGTATATATTATTGTCATCGGCCCTCTCCCACTTTCCTGAGTCCTCTAAAGCAGATGCCACTTAATTAGAATCTAAATATACAATTTAAGAGATACAGTTAACCTTAAGGATTATTTTACTGATGAGGAAAGTTAGTCTTGACATTATTAATCACATGGCTAATAAGTGGTAAAGCTGGAGATCAACCAGTCTCCAAGGCATCTAGTCCAGTTTCCGTGGATCACACTATACTGCCTTTTCCCCCCATTCCTTCTCCTTTTTTTCTAGGATGTAGCTAAGAAGCAGTGGAATAATGTCTTGGTGGCACTTGTCCTCCTTACACACACATAGAAAAAATCATTTTGTTGACCATAATAATTTGTTTAATTCTTAAGTGATCTCTGTATTTTTCTCCAAACAGCCTCAAAACCAGTGGACTTGAAATCATGCACTGGCCCTGTTCCTAATACTACACAGCTGTGTCACATTCCCTGTCCTATTGAATGTGAGGTGTCACCTTGGTCAGCTTGGGGACCTTGTACTTACGAAAACTGTAATGACCAGCAAGGCAAAAAAGGTATGTCCTATTAACATGACATGCTTAAAACTCCTATCAGTTGAGTCAAATGTGAATTATTTTAAAATGCTCCTCTGTGTTACTTGTGATTATTCATTTGTGATATTTTCCAGAATGGCTAAAGCGTATTGATTGCAAAAAGATGAATAAACCTACTCTGATGTTGGTACCAGAACATTAAAACTGAAGTTAATTATCTAAATCTTTGTCCACTTATCTGTAAAAGGGATGTAATATCTGCTACCCGTGTTTTCTTTAAAGAATCGATGGGATAATAAACATAAAGCACTTACTTCAATGCCTGATCCATAGCTAGTTCTCAATAGACAGAACTCCTTATTACTTTGAAGGTAAAGAAAAAAAACTCTATTGCTTTTATGAGGCAAATCACGTATTTATGAGGATTAGAATAAATGCAGCGGTTTCTTATATGGTGGACACGATGGGGTAATTTTCACATGATCTGGTAATGGAAAACATTTTCTTATTTCCTTTCAAAGACAGTCTTCCAGTGATTCTAATATGTTCACATAGTAATAAACAGACTTATTAATTTTGCTAGTGATTTTAATATGTTTACATGGCAATAAACAGACATTAATTTTGTTATGCACTGTCCAGAAGGACTACAGTTAGGTACTGTTAAAGCACAGGGCACAATTCTGACGACTTCTCCTTAGAGCCCAGTTGCTTTATATCACTAGTTCATATTTCCAGAGCATCTAAAATCAACTAAGGCTCAAAGAGACAATTTATCTGGAACCATCCAACTTCTCAGAGGTATCTTTTTAGATTTAATTATGCAATAGTGTTGAAGAATTCAAAGTAATAGCACGTTAGTCATGAATACTTCCAAATAGCTTGAGATTTCATTGTTTCTTTAAATATTTTATAACTATAGACTTTCCAAAAAAACAAAATTCATTCTGTGTATGTGTGTTTTCTCTATCTGTGTGTCTGTCTGTCTCTCTCTTCTTCTGCCTCTCTACCTCTCTCCCGTCCTATGAAGGAGATAGATGACAGTTATATGGCTTTACTTGCTTTCCCTCTTTGGCCCTTCTGTTAATTTATTTATTCATTTAATAAATGATTAAAGAGCTCACATTAAGCTAGAGTTTGAGGATGCACTAGTGATTAAAGCAGATCTGACTTCTACCTTCTACCCTCATCCAGCTTTCACTCCAGTTTTCGTTCAGCCTTCTGAAATATTCAGCCATGACAGAAACAATAAATATCTTCCTTCCCCAACAATTCAGGTTTCAAACTGAGGAAGCGGCGAATTACCAATGAGCCCACTGGAGGCTCTGGGGGCACTGGGAACTGCCCTCACTTACTGGAAGCCATTCCCTGTGAAGAGCCATCCTGCTATGAATGGAAAGCAGTGAGGCTCGGAGACTGTGAACCAGACAATGGAAAGGAATGTGGCCCAGGCACTCAGGTTCAGGAGGTTGTGTGCATCAACAGTGACGGTGAGTCGGGCAGGCGTACTACCCTGCTTTTACAAATGTCTCTTTAACCCTGGAGATTATGCCTTACTTTATGTTAAAATCTCACACCCCTTTATTATAACGGGCTCTATTTACAAACACAGAAATAGCTGTTTCTTCCTTGTTTCTTCCCCTCCCTCCCATCTTCCCTTCTCTCTCTCCCTTCTCCTCTTTGTTTCCTTCCAACCTTCTTCCTTCCTTCCTTCCTTCCTTCCTTCCTTCCTTCCTTTCCTTTCCTTTCCTTTCCTTTCCTTTCCTTGTCTTTTCTTTCTCCCCCTTTTCTCAGTCTCTCAGTTAATCTCTGTCTGTCTCTCCCTCTCTCTGTCTCTCTAATGGTGGCAATGAGGAGGTTCTTTGAACAATCACGGTATTTTTTAAATTTGGAAGCCAGTAACAGAATAAGAATTATATCATCATCAAGGCAATAAAGTATTAAGTTGCCATTTAAAAACAGGGGCACCTGGGTGGCTCCGTTGGTTAAGCGTCTGACTTTGGCTCAGGTCATGATCTCAGGGTTTGTGAATTCCAGCCCAGGCCAGGCTGTGTGCTGATAGCTCAGAGCCTGGAGCCTGCTTAGGATCTGTGGCTCCCTCTTCCTCTCTATCCCTCCCCTGCTCGTGCTCGCTTGCTTGTGTCCTCCTGCTTGCTCGCTCATGCTCGCTCTCTCTCTCTCGCTCTCTCTCTCTCAAAAATAAGTAAACATTAAAATTTTTTTTTAAAGCATAGAAAGGTAACTTTTTCTAAGTGGTATTTTTTTATTCGCCATAGATATGTACATAAAGGATTATAAGAATTGGTTGACTTGAATCGAGAAGCCTTTATTTCCTGCCTTGATGTTGAATCTTAGGGGAATAATTTAATTTCCAGACTCCCGAACCACATGGCCTTTTGCAACCTAGATTTCCGGAAACAACCCCTGGTTTCTGGGGACTTCACCTCTAGGAATGTCATAGAGCGACTGGGATGGTGATTTTCCACAAGTTTCCTTTCTCAAAGTACAGGAATTACCGTAGACTTTCATACCTGATTTTTTGTTTGATAAAATATCCTGTCTTGTTGTTATCCTAATACAAGATTTTTACATTCTCTCCATGAACACTGCTACTGTTCTGGGGAGACCCCCTTAATCTTCAGTAATCTCTGAGCCACACTGAGGAAACCTAGAACTCCTTGCGCCATAGTTTAAAACCTTTGACTAAAATCGTCTCTAAGGGTCCCTCCAACTCTCGAGTGCTATGACTCTGCACATCAGAGCAGCATGAGCACCAAGCCCCAGGGCCCCATGATCTGACAGTTTATGCTGTTTACAGCACATGCGGAAACATTCTGGTACCCCCTCAGGGGCAGTGGAACATCTGGTAAGCATCATAATTCCTTCCATCCTATTTTCTTCCAGCAAGCAGAATTGTTTCCTCCTGTGACTCAGTCACTGTTCAGTAGAGAAAGATACTCTCTGGGGTAAGACACTGACAGACACTGCTAGTACTGAGAAATTAGCCTTTCGACTTTGAAACGCATAGTGTTGTCTTTGTCCAGGGTCCGGCATGGTCATGTGGGACAGCCTTAGGTAAAATTCAAACCAGCACTTGAGGTTGAAGGCAGAGGAAGGGGATTATTGCTGCAGAAATTTTATGATGCATCTTATGCATTCTGCTTTTTTCTAGATTTTCTGCCTTTCATAGATATAATTACCTATGATGCATCCTCTCTTTAGCTTTTACCCAGTTCCACTCTAAAGGCAAAGAAAAGATTGACATCTAATGGGGAGAAGAAGCAAAAGAAATGCGTTCTGTTGCACTTACCCACAACTTCAGATGTTTATTTGGATTAGATGGCAATCTGTATTATCTTCTTTCTGAGTTGCTGTAAAAACAGTACGGGTCATATTTATTTCAGTATCGCTGGTAACTCCCTTACTGATACTGCTTATTTTTTTGCCTAAATTCAAATAATTTTTCTTATCCCCCTATACACCTTGGGAGGAACTGTGATCCCGCACATTGTAAAAGGTGTATTTGAGTGAACAAAGATGACAAAAACATTAAAATAAAAAGTTAATTGTGCATGGCACTTCTGTCTAAATATTATCAAATGAAAAATCAGATCTTACTTAATGCATTGATCTTCCTGGATGTTTGTATGAATTCAGTATATTTTAAATATACTGGAGGAACTGGCTATTTTAAACATATCAGTGATTAATTTTAATTTTGTCAGGTAAAAAATATTTTGTAGCACAAGTAATAACCCCCTAAATTGTCTTATGGAACACTAAAAAACAAGCAGAAGAATGAGTTATGTATGTCTAGTTATATTGAATAAAAGTAATGTACATTATAACCCAAAAAGCACATTGGTAGCTTACAGTATACATACGCTGATTTCACTTTTCCTGTCTCCCCCAAAAAAATCAATTAAGAAAAAAAAAACATACTATTGACATTCAATCTGTTATTACTGTCCTTTATCAGGACATCTGTTTCATCATTCAGGTTTACTTGCTGACATGAATTGGTCATGGTGCAACTCAGTATTTTAACTGGCTCAACTAGTACAAGAAAATTCTTTATTATTATAAGCCCTACAGGCTGCTCAAATTTATATATTGCTGAAACCTAATTGTGCTGATAGAATAGAGCAAAAGCTGGAGACTTGTAAATACTCCTCCAGTATTATCATGTGGTCACCTGGTAAGTGTTTAGCAGCTGCACCAAATGTTGTTTTGTAATTAAATCGAACCCAGGGAATTAAAGTTGATTAGTTGTACAGACTCTACCTCTAGGCCTGGCTGCGGCTATAGATTTTGTTTTATAATTAAGTTAAAGCTCAACTAGGGAAATGAAGAATTAGAGCCTGTGAATGTTAGCAAATAATAAAAAGACCTTTTTTCTCCCACGTTCCTCACAAATTTCACAACTTTGTTAATGACCTCAAAGCATTGAAAGGCTCCATTTTTTTTGCCCTGGATTATTCTTTGTCCAGGCTTCCAAAAGTCATTAGGGTTTGCTGCTGATTATTGTTCATCTTTCCAGTTGTCTTCCAAGGAGCAGAATTGGGGAGGGTTTTTCAGAGCACTCAGGAGGAATTTTACATAGATTCTCTAACAGACAGAGGGCGTAAGCAGAAATGGGAGATGAAAGAGAACTCAGAAGACAGATTTTACAGAAAAAGATAAACACTTGATGTGTAATAGAAAAAAATTACCACTCATAATTTAAAGATCATCAGAAAAGCAATTTCCAATCTCTCAGCACAAATACAGGAACTATTCAAAAGGTCTGATGGTGAGATTTGGGGTTGGAAGGGAGAGAAATCCTAGAGTTTGTTGGGCCTTTAAGAAAAAGCAAAATCTGCCCTATTTCACGTTTTGTGAAATTTGCATGTTTTATTTAAAGGTATAAATTTGGTGTGGCAAGAGTACTTTTGGTAGTCTTGGTTGGTACAACAACAGATTGGTTGGTTAGAGACAGAAAAGAACAAGACTGTTAGGCTGAAAGTGGAAAAGAAGAAGATCCGTTGTCTTTTTTTTTTTTTGTCTTTACTTTTTAAAAATTTTTTTTTTTAATTTACCTCCAAGTTAACATATAGTGTAATAATGATTTCAGGAATAGAATTTAGTGGTTCATCACTTACGTATAACACCCAGTGCTCATCCCAACAAGCATCCTCCTTAATGCCCCTTGCCCACTTAGCCCATCCCCCCACCCAAAACCCTTCCAGCAACCCTCACTTTCTTTTCTGTATGTAAGAGTCTCTTATGTTTTGTCTCTCTCCCTGTTTTCATATTATTTTACTTCCCTTCCCTTATGTTCATCTGTTGTTTCTTAAATTCCACATATGAGTGAAGTCATATGATATTTGTCTTTGTCTGACCAATTTATTTTGCTTAGCCTAAATACACTGTAGTTCCATCCACATTGTTGCAAATGGCAGGAGTTCATTCTTTGGATCACTGAGTAATACTCCATTATGTATATATACCATATCTTCTTTATCCATTCATCCATCGATGGACACTTGGGCTCTTTCCATACTTTGGCTATTGTCGATAGCACTGCTAGAAACATTGGGGTACAAGTGTGCCTATGAAACAGCACTCCCATAGTCTTAGGATAGACACTTAGTAGTGCAATTGCTGAGTCTTAAGGTAGTTCTATTTTTAATTTTTTGAGGAATCTCCATACCGTTTTCCAGAGTGGCTGCACGAGTTCACATTCCCACCACCAGTACAAAAGTTTGCCTCTTTCCCCACATCCTCACCAATGTCTTTCATTCCCTGAGTTAATTTTAGCCATTCTCACAGGCGTGAGGTAGTATTTCATTGTGGTTTTGTTTTCTATTTCCCTGATGATGAGTGATGAGCAATTTTTTAACGTGTCTGTTAGCTATCTGGATGTCTTCTTCAGAAAATTAGCTATTCATGTCTTTTGCCCATTTCTTCACTGGATTATTTGTTTTTGGGTGTTGAGTTCAATAATTTCTGTATAGATGTTGGATACTAACCCTTTATCTGCTATTTCATTTACAAATATCTCCTCCCATTCTGTTGGTTGCCTTTTAGTTTTGGTGATTGTTTCCTTCTGAAGCTTTTTATCTTGGTGAGCTCCCACTAGTTCATTTTTGCTTTTATTTCCCTTGCCTCCGGAAACTTGTCAAGTAAGAAGTTGCTCTGGCCAAGGTCAAAGAGGTTGTTGTCTGTTTTCCTCTCTAGGATTTTGATGACTTCTGTGTTACGTTTAGGTCTTTCATTCATTTTGAGTTTATTTTTGTATAGGGTGTAAGAAAGTCGTTCAGGTTCATTCTTCTGCATGTCTCTGTCCAGTTTTCCCAACACCATTTGCCAAAGAGACTTTTTCCATTGAATATTCTTTCCTGCTTTGTCAAAGATTAGTTGGCCATACATTTTTGGGTCCATGTCTGGTTTCTCTGTTCTGTTCCATTGATCATTGTGTCTGTTTTTGTGCCAGTACCATTCTGTCTTG